GCTATTATACAATATTATGGTCAATTTTTCATTCAGTGTTTCATTAACAAATGTATCAAACTGCACTAAAGATGACTGGGTTACTCCTGTAACCTCCAGTTAAAAATAATAGCAATTCATAGGACTTCAAAATAACCTCAGTAGCTTTAGCTACGAGTATTTTCTGCCATATTGAAATAAATCAACTAGTGGTTATTAATCTAGACTATCAAGAAATAATTTGTAGTTATTCGCCTCACAACGATAAGTTTGAGTAAGTGTACTGTTTGTATCGAGTAATTTCTATATTTCTGCTTGTTAGGGGATGTAGGCATCTATAGGTCTTTTTGAAGTAAATATCTCTTTTAGGTGTTGATTTGTAAGAATTTGATTGGTTGGAGGATTTCATCACGAGTTAGCATCAGTTATAGAACGACTGGAAAACGAAGAGGGAGTACTGGACACCTGTTTCGTCTGCCTAGTTTGAGACTCTTCATCAGAACGTACCACCACCGGGTTTCGAACCCACGATCTTCTGGTTACAAGATGAGCTCGTATGCCATCAAGCTACTGGGACCCAATGCAGTGAATAGTCCATGAATTCCAACTTCTGCCGATTCGTGAAACGGTGCGACCACTTTGCAGTGTCTTCTTCGATGAGTTACAGTCTCACCTTCAACCTGCTGTATCTTACTCATCACGGCTTCCTACTAGAACCCCAGGTCACTGCCTAAATAGGGCTAGTCGCTAATGAGTAGCAGATTCATTATCAGTTACCTGGGGTTCTAGTAGGAAGCCGTGACCAGTAGGTTACAGCAGGTAACTGGTAACTGGTCAATCTATAAGTCGTTTTATATTCAGATAGTGTATTAGTGAGTGAATGCCTACGCCTGTGTGCCAAATTTTCAGTCATCATTGGTACACTTTATGTATTATTAATTATTATTATTATCATCTTCTTGGATTCCGAGTGGAATATAGAGCTTCAACAACACATCTCCACTTTCTCCCGTTCTCTGCAGTCCTGTTTAGCTGGCCCCACGATTGCACATAGTCTCTTATCTCCTTCATATCACCTTCGGACGTCCAACTTTTCATTGCACACTCAGGTTTCACTCGAAATGGTGTCTGACGAGAGGTGTCTCCCGATGGTCTTCTCAATGTGTGCGTCCGATCCATATCCATTCTCTTCGGAATATTTGATGAGCAATAGCTTCTTGACTGGTTTGTTCCTAGAGTTTCTTGCTGCTAATTCTTTCTGGCTGGCCATCTGTTCTTCAGTATGGAACCAGCAAAGGCAGCTATTGATGAAATGCTTTTAATGATGCTGTTTTTCTTATCTTCTGATGTCTAATTTGGCTGTTTTCTTTTTCGATTTCAAAACAGATATCTGACTGAGCAAACCAGTGGAATTGATAAAATCTACCGTATTTATTCCCCATATTATTTTTTCAATGTTTGTTTATGATAAACAAATCGTGTTTACGGCTGGAAAACTATCTTAAATATGAAATAATAAATTGCTTTAGGCTAATACTAAGCAATTCGCAATATAAAATCGTAAATACTGTAAATTTTCTACTTTCTTCAGTAGTTCTCTTAAATGCAGATTTCTTCAGACTTGAAGGATTTAATTGTCAAGTGATTTTTCTTTCGAGACATTGTTTTCCATTCAAGTAACAGAAGAAAAAGATTGTTTCTTACTAAGATTTTGACATCAATGATGTCATTGCTTTAGGTATCTTTTACGCTAAATAACAATGAAATAAATATAATTTGTCGCTTTGTATTTTCTGAACATTTAAGCCTGAAATTAGTGTGCGTCGGTGGCATAACGGTTAGGACGCTCGCCGACCATGCACATGGTCCGTGGTTCGATCCCCGGTCGACGCACTCGCTAAGCCAAAAAAAGTTCTGGTGAAGAGGAAAGGTTGGGCATGAGGCTAGCAACCCCATCCTGCAAAATAAACACTGCTACAGAAACTTCAAGCCACTAGCTTGAAGTCCTATGTTCCACTGGGGTATGTGAAGGAAAAAAAGCCTAAAATTCAATGAATGTAGGAAAAAGCGCATGGAAAGCCTTTGGGAGTACAACTGATTGTGGAAATATCAGGGTTGCATATATAGAAAATAGTTAAGGAAATATTGTTCATTTCTTAAGCAGCCTGAATTTATGACCAGTATGTTGTAAAAGGGAAAACAGAAAGAGTCAGTCATCTTTAGCAAAGAGTCATCAAAAGCTATAGGCTATTTTTATTCCCATGAAGATCGATCAAGGAGGAGGTCTAGGATTTACTCAGAAGTAGACTGTCTCACAGTGTTTGTGAACAAACGAAGGAAATGTAGAGGAGAATAACAGTAGAAATTACCCGTCAACTATAGAGGCTTACTGAAGAGGATGAAGCTTCAAAAGCTTCTCAAAGAAAAGTTTTGTACATTACAGCAGTGTAGACCGCTGGTAATTCCAGGTTATTTAAAACGGAGATTGACCTTCCCGTGATAATACAGTTTCTTATGTTCAATGTACACCAAGCATATAAAGAAAAGATGAAGTTGGAGAATAGAAGACCCAAAGAAATAAGTCAAGGTTGCAGTCAGAACAATGCTTCATTGATCGAATGTTATCCTCCCACAACTTCTGAATACCTAATAGCATCTGGCCTTCCTCATATTTCTTATTTTAAGATGGTATTAGAATGTGTCGGTGAAGAGTTGCTGTGGTAATGTTCTGCTATGAATTTGGTGATAGTAAGGAGGGTGTGCTAATCAAAGCGCTGTACTCGACCGCATGCAGACGTTAATGAGCTTGTGAAAACGATGGCGTCTATGTTTTATACGGAATGTCTGCAGCTACTATTTTTGTTTAATTTTATCGTAGGCTGATGGATCTGTGTGAGTCACACAAACTTTATAGTTTCAGTGATTGACTAGCTACCAAGTAAACATCATATATTAATAGAAAGTACGCAAGTGATGTAGTCCTATCACGTAAAAAATTAGTGGAAATTGAGTCTTTTAAACAATCTTAGGGAAAATCTGATTATTTGATATTCATTTCACCTCTGTCAGATGCGTGATGATGCTACAGAACTAGTCTGTACCGACTTCCAGCTTAAGGAGAGGGTGTGGGAAATTGCACTTGCCATACTGCATAGGTTGCTGACAAAGTTCCAGTATGGATACAGAAGGCGTATTTAGCATTTACCAACTTTCATCATGATATTCATTGATTCACCAAAAGGCGTGTGCAGTATGCAGCCTCTTGCTCATCAATACCTCGAGTTTTTGAGAAATAGGAGCTGGAAGTAGAAAAAGTGAAAAAACTAAAAGTTTTTGACTGTATGTTTTAGAGTTATGTGGAGCGGTGATGGTGAAACCAACCATAAAGTGTTTGTTAAGAAGGTTGAATCAGTTGATGTGGTTGCTAATCTTCATCTACTGAGATGAACAAAAAATATGTTGCATATGCTAGCTAAACCATCACTCTTCCCGATGAGTAATATTATTTCAAGTTGGATTAGATGAGAGAGTTACGAGAAGCCATAAAAAACATAAAAGCATAATACTTTGATAAAGCTATTAGCATTAACTAGTGAAACGTCAGTAAAAACAATATCATTTTGTTTTTCATCCATTGAGAAATACAAAAACCTTCATGACAATGAAAAACATAACAGCAGTTTATAAACAAAGATACCGTTGTTCTGAAGCATTTGTAGAAGCGTAAGTTGTTTGTCTCAAGCTCTACGGATGGTAACTATTGATGGTCGAAAGCTTTCAGTGATATTTGTGAAGACCATCCACAGCAATAAACATGTATTCGCATCAAGTTATCCTCAGGTTTCTGTGAATTTTCTTGTTTTATTCCTTAACGTTCCAAGTGGAACAAGGGGCTTCAAGCTTCATGCCTAACCTTCCCTCTTTACCAGTTTTATTACTGATATTGTATGGTTTGAGGAGTTTAGTAGAAAGCTTTGAACCCAGGTTTCGTGCTTGTTGGCACTCGTCATCAAGGCGTATCTGCAACCTTGAAAGAACTTATGTCCCACATTGCAAACGTGACTGATAGAATTCAGTCTTCACCACTCAGAGGAATAGACACACTACACTAGTTGTTAACTAGTGTCCAATCAAAAGTGTTCTTATTACTGGCTTAGTGAGGTAAAGGAGTTCGTTGGCTGCGGATCGAACCCCGGACCACATGCGTCGTTGGCAAGCATTCTGCCTCTGTACCACCGATGCACAGCGGTTCTCTTCCTGGAACAAATGTTTTTCAATTGCACAACACTGACGTCTCTGTGTTTCGTTTAATGCTTTCTTAAGCGTGTAGCAACTTGAACTGATTCACTTCTCTGCGAATTTGCACAGTGATACTTCAGTCAGTGGTAATATTTTTATTTAATGTGTTCGTAAAAGTAATAAAATAAATTGCATCAGGTTTATTGGTTTTACAGGTGGCAGAGCTGTAGGCATTAGTTACTACCATTTGACTTATATATATATATTTTCAACTTCTTTTGACTGGCATATCATAAGGTAATGTTTGCATACATATGCTGATAAGTCTTAGGGTAAGTTTCTTCCCTAAGAAATTCACACGTTTAATCGTCATTAAAGCATACACTATGGTAAACACGAACTTTAGTAGAAATAAATGAATCATTGATGCATCGATTTAGCAGCGCGAAACACTACCTCTTCAAAACGCCTCATATCATCCTCTTATAATAATAATAATACTATAAAATCTCTGAGGTATGTATCATGTCTCAGACAAATAACAGACAGCATTCTGAGATCATTATTATCTTGTCTGTTTTCCTAATTGCTGGTTTAATCACTACTGCTGTAACAACAATACTGTTTTTCTTAAATGTAATCAATCAAGAACACTTGCTAGGAAATATTATAATCAATAAAGAACAATTTAAATAAATACGAATATTTTGGATTTATCATTATTGATTGTATTACTAAAAACCTGTTACACACTTCCCGTCGTTTTCCCTTTTTATTATTAGCTAAAGTCGGTGATTTTCTAGAGGATATCTACCAGGATCATTCCTACTTGATCGGCTTACACCTATTGAATCAACCCAGTGAAGATATGCTAAAGAAAATTGCTGAATGTCATCGTAATCTTATGTAAGTTATATAGTTGAAAGAATCTATCTATTATGGAGCTTTATTTCTACATTTAATACAGACTGGAAATTTCCCTTTTGTGCCAAAATTGTTAAAATACAAGACATGCTTTTTTGTGTGTGTGGAATTTATCATTATACACGTTAAGTAATAATCTAAAATTACAATAAATATAAAGTTTGGTTAAAACCTTTTAAAATGTTAAAAGTACTAGAGATCATCATGTTTTTAAGACATATGGCTTAATCATGTGTTGCAGACTTGCAGTGTAGGTAATGAACTAAGTGAAGACATTTACGATGTCGAAATGTTCAAAAATTCTAACACATGAACATTATAAACAGTTGTTGATTTTTAAAATCAACAGATATAATGCTAATTCTAAATGATTTTTGGAGAGAAATCAGCTATAAAAACTGTGGCTAGTAAAGATACTGAATATACTGTTTTCAATAAAAAGAACTTATAAAAATAAAGACCTTCAGTTTGTTTTATTTGGTTGTATTTTATTACGAAGTAAAAGATTGTTTTACTTGAATTAGTAACGGAGTAACAACAGTTTTAATAAATTCACAGCGTTGATAAATACGTTATGAACCTTCTAAAATGACCTTTAAGCAAACTAATATGACGGTAAGATGTAGCGCGATATGGTGTTGAATACTGATGGTTAAAGGGGCTTAAAATCCTGGAGGTATTTTTGGGAATCTCCTCTGTTGGGGCTCAATTTTGCAGTATATTTATGTACAGTCTTGAAAGAACTAAAATATCATCCGTCACTGGTAAATCAGCGTTTTGTGTAAAGTATTTTAACGGCACTATTACTAAGCATTATGAATCGATTTGTATTCAAAGTTAAAAGTTCATGATTATTAGAACCATGACTGCTTTTTCTCAGGAATAATTGGCGCACAATAATCGGTCTGAAAGTAATAATCAGTGTAAATAGTTAGTCTCTGCCGCCAAATGAAGTTTATTAATTTCGCTGCTGACAGAGTTGCTGGTTGTAGTACACAACAGGAATTGTCTGTATCTTTGGTAAAATAAATATTTATTCCAGGTTACGGAAATGCTTTACTGATGAATATCAGTAAGGAAACGGTTCTGTCGACTGACTCTTATCTTTTAATTATACATTATTATTCTTACAATGTTTCTTCACTTTGCCCTATTCCCTGTGGTCCTCTTTAGCAGGCCCTATGATTGCCCATAACCTGTCATCTCCTCGTCGCACGATCTCCTCCACGTCACCTTTGGACACTCCGCCCACCGTTTCTCATTCGGGTTCCACTCGAGCTATAGGCTAGCACCCTTTTACTTGATGGTCTTCTCAGTGTGTGTCCGAACGATCTCCACTTTCTTCAGCATATTTATTGGGCAGTAGACTCTTGGTTAGTTCGTTGCTAGAGTTTCTTGTTGCTGACCGTTTTTGGAGGAGGCAGCGAATGCAGCTGCTGATAAAAGTCCGAAGTGGCCTGTTGGAAATGCTTTTCTTGACGAGCAGTGCAAGGATCTGACCAACATAGAAGAAATGACTCAACGCTGGTATTGAATATCCGTATCTGGTTCTTTATGCTGAGTGCAGTAGATTTCCAAACTGATTTCAGATTGATGAAGGTGTGTATTGCTTACCCAGTCCTGCCTTTGAAATCCCCATCTGTACGGTAGCCTGTGGTTAAAACAATATTTCCTAGGTAAGGGAAGGAAGTAACCTCCCTCAAGTTTCTTCTGTTGATAGTGATTGGTGCTTATTGTTGTTGGTTGGTTGGTTATCTTCATCGCCTCTATCTTCTGCGTGTTCACTCGAATTCCTGCCTTCGCTGCTTGTTTCTTCTGCCAACTTATTGGTTTTCGCCTGCAAGTCTTCGTGTTCATGTGACATTAGACATAAATCATCCACGAAGTCCAGATCTTCTAGAGTCTTCTGATCGGTCAGTGCAGCGTATTCCTGTCTTCTCTCTCCACACGGACGGTGTATCACATAATCCAGTCCACCACAATTAGGAATATCATCGGTGACAGCAGTGAACAGCCTTGTCTTACTCCTGTATTCACTTCGAAGGCTTCTCTGAGTTTTCCCTTGTGGATCAACCGACACGCAGCATTGTCATATAGCTGTCGAATGAGCTTGATAAAGATTTGAGCACTGTAAGTCGTAGTGTTGAAGCAGTTTTCTAATTACTTCTGGGTCAACTCTATCGAAGGCCTTTCCGAAGTTCATGAAATTGGAGTAGAGAAAGGTTTGACTGTCATTCCAAGCTTTGTTCGATGATGATTATGCTTCGAGTTGTAATTTGATCAGTATGATTTGGCTTTCATGAATTTAGCTTGTTTCGGTCGGAGTTCTGTATCCAATGCAATTTTTAGCCTCTTCAGCATGATGAGACTTAATATTTTGCTTGGCAAGAGCAAGCAAGAGCATGATTCCGAGCCAGTTCTTGCAGGGAAGTAAGTCGCCCTTCCGCGGTAGTTTCGCAAGATAGTCTTTCTTCCCATCAGTAGGTATTTTCCCTTCCTTCCATTCCGTTTGCAATAGTGATTTAGCTTCCCTCAACCATCTGTTATAGGTGTCCTCTGAGTTGAGCCCTCCCCAGATAGAGACCTGGTTATCCGATATAACGTTCTCTGGTCTCTTTTACCTGCGGCCTGATTGCTGTGCTACAGTTGCCGGTGTGTTTTAGAACTGTCTTTTGTGTTTCCCAACACTCTTCTTTACTTCTTTATTCAGTGAAGTGTTTATTAAACTTAGCTTTTCCTTCTGTTGTCCATCTTTGTGTTGAGTCATCTTCTCTTTCACCATCCTTCTCTCCTCGATTAGCTTCCATGTACCCTTTGAGAGACATTACTTGTCGTGTCTCTTCCTTCTTCCTAGAACAGTTGTACACGTCTCCTTGAATATCACCTTCAGAGAGTTCCAATGTTCCCCCAAGCAGGTTTCCTCAGTGATAACACGTTGTTTCTCCTACTTTACTCTGATCTGATCTGTAGTGAAGGTATCCCTTGTAGTTTTGTCCTTCAGTTTCTGAATGTTGAACTTGAATTACAGTGGCCTGTCTCCAGTTGTTTTGAGGGATTTCAGCTTCACCTTGAAGGTTCCTTGAACTGGATGATGGTCTGAGCCGGCTCACATCTGCTCCCGTTCTGGACTTTGTATCCACCAGGCTGCGTCTCCACTTCCTTGAGCAGCATTGAGATGAAGTTTGTCTGGTTTGCGGTGTATCCATCAGGAGAAATCTATGTTGCTTTTTGTATATCCTTGTGCTTGTACATGCTGCCTCCGATGACCGAATCATTGAAAGCGCAGAAGTTTGTAAAGAGTTCACTGTCATTCACTTCTGTGAGAAACTCTCGACTCATGATGAGTTCTCTTCCTGTATTATCTGCTTCCACTTTGACATTCATATCTCCCATAATGATTTTGATGCCGACATTCGGGATGCTGTTCATTACTGTTTGTAGTTTTCTGTAAAAATCCTCCTTCTCCTCTTGCTCTGAGTTGTTTTAGGTGCGTAGCATTGGATAATTGTAGCCTTCCTTCTCCCCTTTCGAGTTGAATCTTGCTGTCATTATTCTGGAGAAGATTAGTTCCCACTACGTAAGAGCTTCAGCTGCTGTTGGTAATATCATGATGGCCACTCCCTCAGTGTGCTCGTGAATATCGTCTGGGTGACCTGAGTAGGTTGTTCACCCTCCAGTTAAAAGTTTAGAAATTCCAAATCCATTCCACCGACTTTCTCAGACTTCCATTCCGTATTTTGTCATTTCTTTGGCTACCTGGGCATCATTCCCAGCTTCGTACACTGTAAAAATATTCCGTGTCCCAATATTTATATCAACACTATTATTTAAATAATATATTTTGAGTTCATTTTAACTTGTTGAACATACAAGTCTGTAGATAAAACCTGGATAAAATAATATGGAACCATGTAATCCCATAAAATGTGTCTTATGCAAGTTACTGATTTATCCACTAGACTTTTGCAGAGGTGTAAAGTAAAAAATCATTGCAACATTCAAAAATAAAATCATTCATATAAAAATGCGTTTCTGATATACTTTTACAATTTTACTGTTCTTCCTACAATCATTATCCTATATGCTTTTAATTTATACCCTGGAAAAATATTGGGAAGTAATTTATGTAAAGGAAACATTTTTTTATTCCCTTTCTTTTATTGTTTCTAAAAATAGTATTTATTTCGTACAATACTAACATTGTCTTTCTATCATGTTGTTTCTCATTCCTATGCCTATTTTCCGTCAAAACAAAACTACATGTCAGGAACTCCGAAAACGCTTTATGATTACCATCTGGATTGCATATTACCTGCTAATGCACACCATTATATTACTATTTTTGGAAATATTTTATTTCGACTTCCTTCTTTAGGAGTTTTATTGACTTATCAACACACTATCTAGTACTGATTTCTGAAATAATGTTATATTTCCTTTAGTACAGAATTAGCTATTTCATTTAAGAAACAATAAGACTTTTTTGACAGATATAGTCCTACTCTGCTTCTCATGAATAAAGTGAAATCTGCATAATTTGTGATGAGGTAACTAGAAGTCAACTGGTGGATAGTGGAATCCAAGATGAGCATTTCTTTCTATACGGGACTCGTCATCTGGAATTACCTGCATTCCCCAGCGAGTGATGGTGTTGCCACCAAGGCTGGAACCCATTGCCCATAGTTTCAAACTCCAAATAGGACGAAATGCGCATCCTAGATTCCACTGCTAGTCACCATCCGCCAATCGACTTCAAGTTATATGACCAGACATCGTCAAAGCAACTGCACAAGAAGCCAGCATGTCAACCTGAGACCGAGATCTTTGGTCCACTCAATCGAAGGGTTTATCTAAATTGAATTAAACTAATTTATGGTAGTTTGAAGTCTTGTCTAAAATAATAAAATTGAGTATTGACAGTTTCCGTGCCATCTTTCATCATGATGGGTTTTGTTTGTCTTTACAACCCTTTTCTGCAAAAT